CTCTCTCTCTCTCTCTCTCTCTCTCTCTCTCTCTCTCTCTCTCTCTCTCTCTTTCTTTCTTTCTTTCTTCCACTCACTCAGTCCCTCCCAGCAAAGGGGATTGAAAAATGCAACAACTGTTGAATGTGGAGCAAAAGAACCCAGGGTTCAAATTCTTTCTGAGCCCTCCTCAAATCTTTTGGCTGGCTGGAGCATGACATTGAACAAAATATTTTATCCCTAGGGCATTGGGAAGAAAGGGAAACTACAAGTGTGCCTAAGATTTTTTTTTTTTTAAAGCCATTTGTGGTACTTCATGTTCCCATAAAGGGCGGAGAATTGTGGGGAGTTGGCTTTTAAGAACCAAGCTACCTTATGGATCCTTTTTGGTTTCAAGTTGGGGGGGGTGTCTAGGGATTTGTATGTTCTGTGCTAAGGTACAGAACTCTTGGGTTTGGGCAAGCATTCAGAAGGGTTGTGAGTAAGTCAAAAGAGAACATTTCATTTTTACCTCTTTTCTGCAAACAAACATGGAGTAAATTAAACTGGGACTTTGCTTCTTGGCTGGGAACATAGAAGATAGAATAATAGGGTTGGAAGAGGGACCTTCGAGGTCTTCTAGTACTTTCCTAGGCTAAATGGGTGAAGTTGGAATCTGTGAGTCAGTGTTGGCTCCTAGTGTGTGCCTGGACAAGTCCCTGAAGTTTTCAGAAGTGACTTGCCATTACTTCCTTCCCAGGGCTGAGGCAGAGTGATTGGCCCAAGGTCACCCAACTGATTTTGTGCCTCAAGCAGGAGTAGTGCTCATAGCCTCCCAGGGCCTAATCTGTTGCTTTAACCAAACCACACAAAACTGGCTCTCTTGAAGTAATAATTCATAAGCTGCTACAGGTTTTTCCATGACTTTAATCAGGTTTCCTTATCAAAATACCCTTCAACAGATAACACTGCAGAATTATTCTGTCGCTTTGACATCTGAGCCTTCAGAGAACGAATAATATAAGTGTTTCCCAGTGAGATAACCTCGATATATTTGGTTTACAACTCTTGTTGTTTTTGACTTTCAGCCTTTGTGGCTGAAGCTCATAGGAATTGCAGTCAAAACCACCTGATGAACATCAATTGAGGAATGCCAGTGTGTATGCTCTTGGAATTAGACTAATATGTAATATGGACTGATACCTTCAGTTAGTAGTATGGATACTGATTGACCTCTCAAAGCTGGTCTGCAGAATTCAGGCTGTCATAAACTGTCAATCATAACATACTCTGGTCTGCATTAGAGCTATGCATTTGCTTTAGAAAAAGGCTGTCCAACTTTGGCAAGACCTGTGTACTTCAACTCTCAGAATTCCCTAGCCAGAAGTTCACAAGTCTTAAAGTTGCCAAGGTTGGGCACTCCTGCTCTAGAATTTGCACAACCAGGCGTAGTTTTAAAAATGTTTCACACTGAATGTGGTATTTTCGTTATGTTTACATCACATACTGAAGCACAAACCTACCAACAACATTTCAGCCTTATATAGCATATGAATTCAGCCACTGAGATTAATTTCTTGTTTATTGTATCAGGCAGAACCAGGATATTGAGTGGAATAGTTCAGTTAATTATAGATAAGGATTGTGAGTGAACATAGCCATTATTTGTTATCTTCAACTGTGCTTTTTTGAGTTAACTAAGTAGATAGGTTTTCACCAAACTCAGTTTCTGGAAGTTTGATATATACAATTTATTAGGAGCAGAATTCTAGATCTCAATATTCTTTGCAGGGAAATATTGGTAGTGCTTTTAGGTAGAGGATGTATATATGCATATATCTCTTCATCGTCGCCTGTCCAATAATGTCTGTCTGTTATTTCTGTTCACTGTTGATTTGTTCTATGGGCATCACTTGCTATTCTCACTTTTGCCTGGTATGAGCTACCAAACCTGCATAATTTTCCTTAGGAAGTTGTCTGGTAATCAAGCATATTTAAGATCAGGTTATTGCTCTTTGCTAAGACATCCTTGTGGGTTTGGAACCATGGAGAAAAGAGTCCCTGAAATCTATCAGGCATTTATAAGAGGCCTGGTGGCGCAGTGCTAGAATGCAATATTGCAGGCTAACTCTGCCCACAGCCTGGAGATCGATCCTGACAGAGCTCAAGGTTGACTTAGCCCTCCATTCTTCTGAGGTCGGTAAAATGAGGCCCCAAATTTTTGGTGGCAATAGGCTAATACCCCAGAGAGTGCTGTATAAAGCACAGTGGGGCAGTATATAAGTCTAAATGCTATTGCTATTGCTATTTTATGCCTTCTTTCCCCTCCTGCCAGCCAAAAGAAATAATTGCTCACTGCTTCCTCCTTCTTCTGCCATTTCCACCTCTCCTGCCTACTATAGAGATTCATCTGGAAGCAGCCAACCTTCTTCAGACAGAGCCAGTAATTGCTTCTAGGTACCTTGGAAATGGTGCCTGTTTCCTGCAGAGGTGTGAATCATAGAAGAAAGGAATTTCTGGGCCTTTGTAGTTTGGGGGCTGTTCTGCAGTTTGCCTGTTTGCCTTGGAAAGGAAAACTACCTATAGAAATAAAGCAACTTTTCCAATTATTTCTGTACTCTCTGAAAGCTATTGGGGAGAGGGGAAATATATTTGTGTGTAAACTGTCCTTACTTTGTGTTATCTACATGGATACAATGAGAAGGCAGCTCACAAAAGCATCTGGGGTAATGTATCATTTGGTACAAGTGGAGAAATTGAAACAGAAGTGTTTAATAAAAAATGTACTGTGCCTCCTGGCCTGCCATGGAAACCAGATGTCAGAACTGCGGCTTCTCATAGGCCCTTGATGCTGTTCCCCTAAAGCAATATTTCCATCCGTTCTTTTCTTAAAATGCCACATGTTATTTGCAAAGAGAATCTGGGAAAAGTAGATCCAGGAAAGCTCAGGCCTTTAATACATCTGGAACAACGCTGCTTTTTCCAACCAGCAGTGAGTTCTAACAGAGGTGCTTTTTATTTCCCCTGCTAAGTGAAGATGTATGGATGAGGAAGCCTGCTGCATTCTTACAGTGAAATATGCATGTCATCCCTAGATAGCTGAATTGTTCTAGAGAAAACTAAGATAAATCTCAGGTACCACAACAAGGATGAGCAAATATTTTAATCAAGAGCTGCCATGTAGAGAGACTTCCCCTATGTATTATAGAATGCAGAGTTTCTATTTTTGTTTTGCACATAGTGATTATTACTGGTCAGGGAATGTAAGCTTGAAAGTGTCCTTTCGTCAAATGACTTACTTGACCAGGTGTGATTCAGTGCCATCCTTCAGAGAACACCTTTAGAGGTATGAGAAGCTTCCTAGTGATGCCTCCTACAAATTACATGTTTGTAGTTGCAACTGGAAGTGGTGGCTCAGTGGCTAAGACCCTCAGCTTGTCAGTCACAAAGGTTGGCAGTTTGGCGGTTTGAATCCCTAGCATCGCATAATGGAGTGAGCTCCTATTACTTGTCCCAGCTTCTGCCAACCTAGCAGTATGAAA